GCCAATTCCAAATTCCCCCAATTCCAAATTCCTCTAGTTCCAAATTCCTCCAATTCTTGTGATTTTATAGAGCAGCAAATTTGCAATTTTGTAGAACAGTAAACTTGCGATTTTTTAGAGTAACTCAAACTCTTGCAATCCAATAAAATAACTCACAGTCTTGCAATTTTGTAAAATAAAACACCTGCGATTTTATAAAACAGCAAACTTCCGATTTTGTAAACTTTCTTTCACTCTTCCAAAATAAATTCTTGCAATCTTATTGTGTCTTACGTCCCGATAGAGAAACTCAAACTCCAAAATTAAAAAAAAAAAAAACAAAAAGAATCGCGTACCATTTACAGAGCACACAAGTGACAACACAGAACCAAGTATTTCCGAACGATGTTCACAAAAAGAAAGATGGAGGTGTTCGAAGGAGTTTCGTAAACGACCGATATCCACGAGAACCGAACGCGTTGTGAGCGGGTTCGAGCGGCGCCGGGAATTTGAAAGAGGCATCGCGCGGCATTAAGCTGTCCTCACAACAAAATATTGCCTTTGCACCTGCGTCTTTCGTCTCGAGTCCTATTCGTTCGATAGCCACCGCTTTCCACGACAATTATTAAACCTTTGCCCTAAAATATCGTGTTACACCTGTGACGCAATTTGTAGATACAGTGCGATAAATTTATAACCTATTTTCGGTATAATTGAAACTTAAATTGGAGTTGTGATTTATGGTGCTGTTTTTACTGTTTTTATTTGGTTTTTTGTTTTAGTAGGGTTATGGTATATGGGGATAATCTTTTTCGTGATTTATGGAATTTTTTGGGGGGTTTGAAGGTGAGGGGTAGGTTAGGTTAGGTACAGTTTTAAGGTTAGAGTTGGGTTTGGGGTCTAGGTTATTGGGGTGTATTATTGAATATGTTTGTATTGGATTTAATTTTTAATAAATGTAATTCTTTGTGTTGGAATTTTTTAAATTGTGAGATTGCAAATTTGCAAGTTGAAATTTTGTAATTATTAAATCTGTCAATCCCTAAATCCCAAATTTCCCATTTCCCATTTCCCAAATTCCCAAATTCAGAATTTCTCAATTTCCTCAATTCCCAATTCCTCCAATTCCAAATTCCCCCAATTCCCAAATCCCCCAATATCAAATTCCCCCAATTCCAAATTCCTCCAATTCCAAATTTCTCCAATTCCCAAATCCCCCAATTCCAAATTTCCCTAATTCCCAATTCCCCCAATTTCAAATTCTCCCAATTCCAAATTCCTCCAGTTCCAAATTTCCCCAATTTCCAATTTCCCCAATTCCAAATTTCCCCAATTCCAAATTTCTCCAATTCCCAAATCCCCCAATTCCAAATTTCCCTAATTCCCAATTCCCCCAATTTCAAATTCTCCCAATTCCAAATTCCTCCAGTTCCAAATTTCCCCAATTTCCAATTTCCCCAATTCCAAATTTCCCCAATTCCAAATTTCTCCAATTCCCAAATCCCCCAATTCCAAATTTCCCTAATTCCCAATTCCCCCAATTTCAAATTCTCCCAATTCCAAATTCCTCCAGTTCCAAATTTCCCCAATTTCCAATTTCCCCAATTCCAAATTTCCCCAATTCCAAATTTCTCCAATTCCCAAATCCCCCAATTCCAAATTTCCCTAATTCCCAAATCCCCCAATTCCAAATTCCCCCAATTCCAAATTCCCCCAATTCCAAATTCCCCCAATTCCCAATTCCCCCAATTCCCAAATCCCCCAATTCCCAATTCCCCAATTCCAAATCCCCCTAATTCCAAATTCCCCAATTCCCTAATCCCCCAATTCCCAAATCCCCCAATTCCCAAATCCCCCAATTTCCAAATCCCCCAATTCCCAAACCCCCCAATTCCCAAATCCCCCAATTCCCAAACCCCCCAATTCCCAAATCCCCCAATTCCCAAACCCCCCAATTCCCAAATCCCCCAATTCCCAAACCCCCCAATTCCCAAATCCCCCAATTCCCAAACCCCCCAATTCCCAAATCCCCCAATTCCCAAACCCCCCAATTCCCAAATCCCCCAATTCCCAAACCCCCCAATTCCCAAATCCCCCAATTCCCAAACCCCCCAATTCCCAAATCCCCCAATTCCCAAACCCCCCAATTCCCAAATCCCCCAATTCCCAAACCCCCCAATTCCCAAATCCCCCAATTCCCAAACCCCCCAATTCCCAAATCCCCCAATTCCCAAACCCCCCAATTCCCAAATCCCCCAATTCCCAAACCCCCCAATTCCCAAATCCCCCAATTCCCAAACCCCCCAATTCCCAAATCCCCCAATTCCCAAACCCCCCAATTCCCAAATCCCCCAATTCCCAAACTCTCCAATTCTCAAATCCCCCAATTCTCAAATCCACCAATTCCCAATTCCCCCAATTCCCAAATCCCCCAACTCCCAAATCCCCGAATTCCCAAATCCCCCAATTCCCAATTTCCCCATTTCCCAAATTCCCCAATTCCGCATTTCCCAATTCCCCAAATTCCCCAATTCCGCATTTCCCAATTCCCCAAATCCCCAAACTCTTCCTCCGCCAATACTCTCAAACGTTCAACCCCAAACCGGCAATACAACAAACATACATCTAAAAATATACACCTTCCACAACAATCCAATAAAACTCTATTACTTCCTATAACTCCCGTTTCTAAGAACATCAAAACATCTCCACAATCATCTCCATTAACCTCTAATTTTCAACCTGAAATAACTGTTACAACATCACACACACATTATGTACACATTATAACATGTGTATTCAGTACATGAATCGATAGTCACGCAGTCGATTCTTTCAGATACATAGAGAAGTGTTTGTCCCGATGCACTGTGTGCAACAGGTGACGTACATCCTGTGTCTCGAATTAAAACTCTCGACAATAGGTCGCCACGATTCTCGGAATCGAGGAAAATCGATCACTATCGTTTTGTCCGGCGTTCGGGGTATCGTGCAGCAAACGAGGGTAGAAACTCCTCACGGATGATCGCTTTTATTCGATAAGACTCGGTGTTAAAAATGAAACGGGGCCTTCGGACGTGCAACAGGTGCTGCAACTTCTTTCTTTAATCCTTTGTTAACACGTTGGGTGTCACGGTGAAAAATGAGGTTTGTTTGATGGGTTATTATAGTGATTGTTGGTATTAGAGACACGGTAAATAGTGATGTTTGTCATGGGGTATACTAAGGGTTGACATAGGGGTTAAGAGGTGACATTAATAATTAGACGTATTATTATTGACTGAGACACTTAATCTTTCGATTTTGTTTTTTATTTGTCAGGTTAGTTTGGATATATTATTTTTAAGAGTTAGAATCCTCAAGTGTTTGTTTGGTTTTTGTAGAAATAATTAATGTAAGAGAATTTGTAGTGGCCACACGTGACCGCCATATTGAATACTGACGTCCGTGGTAGGACACATTATTATATAAATTATTAATATTAAACACATTCAATATTTCAATGTTGTCTCTTAATTTGTTAGTGTATATCAGTGTCAACATTAAGAGTCTTCAAGTTTCTTCTTGCTCTTTTTATGAACAATTAATTTAACTAACTTAGCAGCGTCCATTTCATATGACCGCCATATTGGAACCTGACGTCGAGACCCACTACAATACAGGTTATTAATAACAAACATAGTTAATCCTTCAATTTTATTTTTAGTCTACTACTGTACGTTATTATGAACATTAAGAGTCCTCAAACTTCTCCTTACTTTTTTTAAAAATAATTAATTTAACAAAATTTGCAGGGTTGATCTCATATGACCGCCATATTGGAACTTAAGGTTCAGACATACTATAACATTATTAGTAACAAAGATTCTTAAATTTTCAATTTTATATTTAGTCTATTACTGTACATTATTATAAACATTAAAAGTCCTCAAACTTCTCCTTACTTTTTTTAAAAACAATTAATTTAACAAAATTTGCAGCGTCGATTTTATATGGACACTATATTGGAACTTAAGGTTCAGACATACTATAACATTATTAATAACAAACATACTTAATTTTTCAATTTTATGTTTAGTCTATCACTGTATATTATTATAAACATTAAAAGTCCTCAAACTTCTCCTTACTTTTTTTAAAAACAATTAATTTAACAAAATTTGCAGCGTCGATTTTATATGGACACTATATTGGAACTTAAGGTTCAGACATACTATAACATTATTAATAACAAACATACTTAATTTTTCAATTTTATGTTTAGTCTATTACTGTACATTATTATGAATATTAAGAGCCCCCAAACTTCTTCTTGCTTTTTTTAAAAACAATTAATTTAACAAAATTTGCAGCGTCGATTTTATGTGGACACCATATTGGAACTTAAGGTTCAGACGTACTATAACATTATTAATAACAAAGATTCTTAATTTTTCAATTTTATATTTAGTTTATCACTGTACATTATTATAAACATTAAAAGTCCTTGAACTTTGTTTTTCTTTTCCCGCAAATAATTATTTTTACTAAACTTGCAGCGTCGGTGCCCATCATGGTAATTAAAATGCTGACCTTTAACTTCTCAACCGAGCAATTGTTTTCAAACAATATCAATCGTCCGAGAAGTGTCGAATGAGAAAAAATGTATGAAAGTTTCATGAATTCCAGTGCGAGCTGATAATCGTTATTCAAATTAATTTGTCCGGTTTTTTTAACACGTTTCAGTGACTGAAATGAACGTCCACTATGTAAAAGTGAAAAAAACGTATGAAAGTTTCATGAAGAGGTGACAGATCAATGAAATTGTGATTGAGTCCTTTCTCTTGGATTTTGACTTGGGATTTCTTGTTGTTTTGTCCTTTTTAATTTATCTTGTCAGGAATAAATAATTGATGCGTAAAAATTGGGTAAAATTGTGTCACTCGTTATTTAAAGCTTGTCCTCGTAAGAGAATGTAGGACTTCTTTAAGTTTGCGTTTTGGTTGTTAATTTATTTGATTAATAATTCTTTTATATTTTTTCTGTTTTATTTAGTAGATTGTGAATTTGTTTACTGAGCAAATTAGGTATTATTTAAATATTGTGTACATTTTGGGATGTAATGTAGTTTAGGGTGAAAATAAATATGGGGTCTTCCGCCATTTGCTTTTGGTTTTGGGTGACGTGAACAAAATGGCGGCGTAGACGCTTCATCAATATTGTTATGTGAAATTGATGTATTACTGGATATTTTCTATACTTTCAATTCTTCCATATCTACAAATATATTGCAATCTTATAGCAGTAATAATTATAATAGTATATAATAATAATTTAAGAGTAATATTATTATAAAATAGTAAGAATAGTAATAGTATAGTATGTTAAAATGAATGATATTAAAATTTCCAATTTAATGTGCACTAACCTATTATACAATATAATATTATTACCACAAGCTGAGGTTAGGTTAGTTTAAGATAAGTTAGGTTAG